CCTCAGTAGACTAGGAATGAAGTCACCACCCAGTTGTACCACTCCTCAGTATTTATTCTACAGAATTAAACTTATCATACTATAGTGATACATACATACTCATGTTTATAGCAGCACAATTCACAATAGACACAGTAGGGTACCAGATTAGTTTTCCATTAATAGATGAATGGAAAAAGAAAATATGGTATACATAAACAATAGAATTTTACTTAGCCATAAGGAAACATGAATTTTCCCATTTTCAGGAAAATGGATGGAACTTGACAACATTATATGAAGCGAAATAAGCCAGACCCAGAAGTGAAGGGTAACATGTTTTCTCTTTTATGTGGAAGCAAGAGAGGAAAACCAAGGAAAGGTGGGGAGGGTCTCATGAAAACTGAAGAAAGATCAGTAGAGTAGAGAAAAAGAACCAGGGGAGGGAAGAGGAGATGGAAAGGGAGAAATACTGGGGAATGACATTAGACAATGACACTGTTATATTGTGTGCATGTATGAGTATATAACAACAAATTCCACCATTATGTACAACTATCATGCACAATAAGAAAATATAGAAAACAAAAAGTGGACAAAGAGCCAGGCACTGTGGCGCATGCCTGGTACTTGGGAGGCTGAGGCAGGAGCATTCCTTGAGGTAAGGAGTTTAAGTCCAGCCTGGTCAACATAGCAGACCCACCTCCAAAATCAAACAAAACAAAAGAACAATACACTGTGGAAAACACACAGGAAGAATACTAATCAATTTTAACACCACCAACAACAACAAAAAGGTCATTAGAGCTGAGGATGGAGCTCAGGGGTAGAGGGATTGCCTACTAGACATCAGATCCTTAGATTAATCCCCAGTATTTTTATTATAAAAAAAGGTACCCTCAAACCAGGAAATTGTGTCATTTATGGTGATATGGATAAACCTAGAGGAGACAATGAGAAAATAAAACAGACACACAAATGATCCCACTTATAAGTGGAGACCGGGGCAGGCAGAAGGGGTGCTGGTTAGCACAGGCATAGAGCAGATAGAAGAGGGGAGACACTGATCAAAGGATACAAAGTTTCAATTAGATAGGAGGAATAATCTCTGTGCCATACTATAGCACATCAAGATGACCACAGTAAATATTAATGTAGTGTATGGGGCAAAATAGCTAACACTGGATTTTAAATGATCTGATTACAAGTAAATGGAAAATATTTGAGGTGAGGTATGAGGTTTGTGCTAATTACTCATTTGATCACTATAAAATGTATACAAGTATGAAAACATTGCACTGCATTGTATAAATTTATATAACTATGTGTTTAACAAAAAGAAAATAAAACCTGAGTCCAGCTCATGTAGTTATCCCCTCCTGCACTCCCACTTTGCCAGAGGGGAACCCCTAGCAGAGGCTGCTTAGGAAGCTTTGGTAGGTTGTAACTTGGACTCTCCCTGGGAGGAGCTGATGCTGGCCTTTTCCCACATCACCATTCTCCCCTTTTTGACATCACCCACTATCTGGTGTCTGTGAGGGCACTGAAGCATCAGCTGGTAGGAGTGGAAGGGACATGGAAGAATCTTGTTTCAAGCTGATCCACTATGCTATGCTCCACTGCTTTGGTGGAGGATTTTTATCGTGTGTACTGCTTACAGAGCTTCCTCTGAGGTTTCTTGCAAACCACACTAATATTTTACTGGCATCTTCAATCATCTATACAATATTTTTTTTGCCCATGGGATCTAATTTCCTAGGGCTATTCATTCTTAATATGCTCAACTTCTGGCTGTGGGAATGAAGGAGTGATCAGAACTTGGAAAATAGTAGGTGGAGTCACACATGCTAACAGCTATTACAAAAATGGCTGGCTAGTCATGATAGCTATTAGATGGGCCCAAGGTGCAGGTGGTATCATTATCATGAATTTTGAATAGTTGGTAAAAGGAGATTGGAACCCAGAAGAAGTGGAGTGGCTGAAGATGTCCTGTCTTTCCAAGGTAATCTTGCTGGAGTCCCTTATCTTCTTCACATTTCAGCACACCAAATATCTGACCATATCAAAGCATAACCTTATGTTCCTTTATACCATCTTTCTTGTGGCCACAAAGATAACCATGATGGTTACAGAGACTTCTGTGACTCTTGCTCCTTTTGAGCATATATTGAGTAGGCTGCTCTTTGGCTGGCAGCAACAGTTCATTGTAGGGTAAGAAATGTGGAGCAAAATCATCTTCCAATGGCACTAGTTCATCAGTCCCCAAACCTATAACCAATGGTTCTGATATTGTTAAAAGGAAATATACTAAGAACACTGGGTAAATTTGCTTGGGCTCTAGAAGGCAAAAAATAAAAAAACCTTTTCTACCTATCAGATTGTGAAAAATATTTCTATGTAGATGAATTGTAATAAAGACTATATACAAAGTAACAAAAGAAATTTTGTTTTAGTGTAATTATTATTTCTTGATTGTAATTTTTGAGTATCATTTGTACATCATGGGATTTTTTTCCTGATATAAAGTATCTCTTGTGAATATTTGATATTTACATTGATAAAAAAATTATAAAAATTTAAAACTTTTTAAAAAATGAGTATTTTCATACATTTCAAAAATCTGAATCTATTTGAGATTTAGTTCAGCAGAATTAAACTTTTATTTTACATTACCATAATAGATCCTAGATTTGGAAAATTAACTGGTTAAAAAATTAAAATTTCTTCTTATTTTTGAGAACTGAGGACAGTAAACTTTTCCTAAAAAATTATATTATAAATGAATATAAATTATTAGTTTATATTTGCTATATAAATATTGTAATTTTGCCCACATTAAATGGAAAGTACCTGAAATTTAACTTAATTTTATCTCTAATAGTATTTTTCAGTAAAAACACATTATTGTTAGAATGATTTTCAATTTGAAGTCTGTTTCATTCCCTTCAAAAACTGTTTTTATTTTTCCCTCAAAAGAAAATCAGGGGTGGGTGCAATTTTTGATAAATTACTAATTCCATGTTTGGTACTTTTTGAAAGTTTGTAGTTTTTCAGAATTATAATCTGCATGTTCTCTATCCCCTTCTCTCTACTTAAAACACATTTATTTCACCTGTAGAGAAAATTTTCACATTTCATATGTTCTTTCTGACCTTAGTTGTTCTGAAACATTGGTAGCAGTTGTCTTAGTGATTTAAAAAAAATGTATAATCTCTATTTAATTTTTTTCTTCCATGCCTCCTTTCTAGTGGCTTTCTCAGTTTTTTTTTTGTTCAAATGTTCCATGTTAGATTACAAATGGTTATGTTTAGTTTGAATCTACATGTACATGTATCATTAATTTTATTTTAAGCAAAAACTGATTAGCTTCATGTGAAAATGTTCAGCTCTGATAAGAATTGTCTGAGCACATTTGACAGTAATCCACTAAGAAACAGATTAACAGAAATCTTATGGTCGTCTTATTTGATTGAAGAATGATAACATTAAATCTAATTTCTTATTGGCAAATAAAAAACATACAAGAAAAGGTACTAAACGGCGCTAGAGTTTCTTTATCTTGTGGTTTAAAAGTACATGTCTAACATTCAAACTCTGTGACATGATTTCAGATGCCAAGACTATGAGCCTACTCCCTGTATCAGGTAGAACTTTTAGATGGCTTAAGTACTCAAATCATATTCAAGCTGAAAGTGACTCTGCTTTTAACTTTTAACAACTGTCAACACCAGCAGGTACTATACTTGCTTAAGAGAAATGATTTTTGTGTGTGTGTGTGTGTGTGTGTGTGTGTGTGTGTGTGTTGGAGGAGCAATTTGATTCTCTTGGAATGCTAAGAAGTTTATTTGAATGTTGCAATAGCATTGAATTAAGTTCTGTATTATATTTGATATCCTTATAGTTAAAAACTTAAAAATTAACTTGTTATTAACTATTAGTCAGTTTTAAAATTTAGATTTAACTGTAATTAAAATGGTAGAAATCTTTTTTTTACAATTGTATTAAAAGACAAATTCATTAAAATAAGTTGTTCAACACCAAATGAGGAAGAGGAGGAGGAAGAGGAGGAGGAGGAGAAAACTTGAGAAAAACAGTCCAATTAAAACTTTTTTGTTTGTTTTAAAAAACAAAGGTCGGGGTAAGGGAAGGAGGGGTGCAGGTTTTTACAGCAGCATTGCTCCTTGTGGTCAATGAATGACTCACAGGGAAGGAGGAAGGGCCTGCCTGGTGAGGGAGACAAGTCCCGGTGAGAGAGACAGAGAACTACTGTCTGGAGGGGAGAGCAGGGAGGGGGAGGGCAACCCGACTGGGTGAGACAGGTGTGAGACAGGCAGCTGAGGAGGCACGGAGAGATGTGATGGAACAATGGAGTTCATATTAGGGTAAAGCGGGGTGCAGGAGGGAGAAAACCCCGCCCCCCCAGGCTGCAGGAGAGCAGGGGTCCTTGAAGGTGGAGATGAGAGAAGTCACAGGAAGAATCTCTTGGCCCAGAAGTCCTCAGCTTCTAACCTCCCTCAGTCTGACTAGAGAAATCACAGTGTCCACAGCAACAGAAAAGAGAGAGGAAAACCCCTAACTCCAGATACTGAGCGCTCCTCAGGAGCACGCTGCTGACTCCAGGAAGAGGACAGGGCTTGGGGGTGGGGGGCCGGAAACTGTCTCAAAATTTATTAATTTTGATAAAGTGTCCCCTGAAAGGCAGACCTCTAAGGGAGTTGAGTCTCTCTCAAAGATCAAAGCAGGAGGCAGAGCTGGGACTCAGGGGCTTGGAAGAACCCGGCTGTTGGAAAGGAAGGGCAAGGCTGGGAGGGGAGGGAGGGAAGCAAGGTGCAGCAGGGATGCAGATGCGGGAGGAGGTGATGGGGTATGCCCTGAAAAGAGGAGCTGAGATTTTGTGGCAAAGGAGCTGCGTCCGGACCCGCACTTCTCCCCCCCAATTCCAGAGCCCGCCAAGCCCCGTAGAGACTCCTTGGATTCGCCTGGCATCTCCCGCTTTGAAGAACCACCATGAGCCCACTCACCAACCGCGGAACCCAGAGGTGCACAAAGAGCAGTGCCGACCAGGAGCAGCAGAGCGCCCAGTCTAGTAGGGTCTGCCATTCTCCTAGGTGATCAGCAGAGAGAGGCTGCCTGACAGTTTCCTGGAAGGGAGCCACACTGGTGGCATGCACAGGGCAGGTGTCTCAATAAACACTCACGCTACTAGGATTGATGCCTGACAAGACCAATCAGGAGCAGAGGGGGAGGAGCTATGCTTAAAGGAGAACTTCCCTTCAGGATGAAGGCTGAACTAGAGGGAGGAGCTACGCTTAAAGGAGAACTTCCCTTCAAGCACAGGATGAAGGCTAAACTACTCCAAAGACAGGGGTAAATAGCCACTATGTCACACTTGCCTTAACCTCCAGGAAAGTGCCTCTGATTTAGGATTCCCCAGGTAAGATAGAATAAGGGCAGCTAGGTGAATGCTGTAGGGTCAGATTCTGAGCAACTGCCATGGCTCAACCTTAGAAACACTGCCACATCTCTGGGAACCTAGTGGAATTCAGCCTACAGAGAAGCATGGGTCTCCCCAAGCTCCTGTAGCACATCACCCCATGTGGCTGGTTCTAGCTTGTTCCTTGCTTGGCACACTTCTGGAAGAGCCAAGCCTTTTTACTCTCCCAACACACTGCCCTCAATCAAGTACAACCTTGCTGGCAAAGGAGCTGCATCTGGCCCTGCACTTCTCCCCCCAATTCAGGAGCCCTGAATTACAAAGAGATTACAAGAGCTCTTTGCGGATTTCAGCCACCTCTGCTCTCAGAAGCACCTTTCACACAAAAATCCATCAGGCTCCAAACACCCTTAGACATTTCAGTCATTCTAATCTGCTCTTTCTCCTGCCATTGACTCCAAGATCCAGCCAGGTTTAGTTTCCTCTGCCCACATCCTGTCACTGCCCTAGCTCTCCCAGGCACTTCATGAGCCTCATCAGACTGCTCCTTATAGGCCAGTCCAACACCGACCAGTCTCACTTAGTGCATCTGCATTTCTGGGCCCATTTGGCCCTCAAATCAAACGGATCAAGAAGCCCACTCTACACTTCTCCAACCACTACAGACCCCCACCACCTACCTACTTCTCTTAAAAGCATCCCCTTGGTCACTTCTGATTGACCCATTCTCCTGCTTCTCTAGCTTCTGAAACCCTTTTACATCTCCACAGTCACTACCTTAGTCAAAATTTTCAACTACCTACATCCAAAAATAGTGCAAATGCTTCTTCATAAATACTGTGTCTATCTCCATTTGTCACCATAATGCCCCAAGCCAATACACAGCTGCTGCATCTGCTCATTTTAACACAGGATACCTCTACTTTCCCATTAAACCCTACAGATGCCACAATCTGCTGTCTAGCATCACCCTTTCCCGAATTTCTCTGCTCACGTCTCTCCTAGGCTGAGGTCAAATCAAGCTGCCCTGATCTCCTTACCCTGTCTCAACAGGATGCTATTGCAAAGCAGCGGAATGCTCCTGCCTTTGTCTTCTAAACATCAGACCTCTCCACATCCTTAAAATAATCATATGAACACAGTGGTGATGGTGGCATAACTTCATGATTATACTAAAACCCACTGAATTGCACACTTTCAAAGTCCGACTTCTGGTAAATGAATTATATCTCAGTAGTAATAGTAATAACCATGCTATGGAAACCTCCTTGTGCTAGACGTTTGCCTTGTCCCCAACATACATCTCTTGGTCTTTCCAACATGGAGTTAGTTGTTCTCTACTTTGATTGCTTAGGAGAACCACCTGCAGAGTCCTTGACATCCTTGTGCCCGGGCCACAGCCAAAACCTATTCAATAGGTAAAGCTAGGTGGGAACTAGGCTGCAGTGTCTTTTAAAGTTCCCTAGGTGTTGTGAGTATGTAGGTAAGTTTCAGAACCAGAGTTCCAGCACATGATGGTCCTAACTATGCCTTCTCCTAAACCCTTCTTACCATCCAAGACATTCCCCAGTGGACTGCAAACCACCCCGGGATTGGAAATTGTTCATTTCTCTTTGTCTTCCCTAAAAATGCCTTTATAAAAATGAACCCTAACTATTCCCTAAGGCTGTCCTCTATACCTTTTCTGTGGGTGGAAAGCTCATTGATGAAGATGTTTTGACAAGCTCTTAGACTTACTTTCCTTTTTATTGACTGTGATAATAATTTTTAGCACAGGATGGATTAAAGGATTAGGGTTCAGTCTCCTTTCTAAGAGGCTATTTTTATTAATGAAGGTCACAAGGATGGTGGTGATGCAGAGTAGGAGAGGAAACACAGCTCTCTTGACAGCTGGTCCCAAGCCCTTTCCTCCCTGTCCTCTTCCCTCCTTACAGGATTTCTTAGGTGGGCAGCTCCAAGTATTATTCTGCTCATTCCTCCAAAAGACTTACTACCTAATAGTTACATGCCAGGTTTGCTCCAGGGCATTTACATATGACTGCAAGGAAAAAGGCTTCTAGGTCTTGGGCTCTGAGAGGACCTAGTCCTGGCTGCTCCTTCCTCACCAAGACTCTCAGGTAGTCTTTTGTGCAAAGCACTTCTGCACCTCCCCTTCCCCCAAACCCCCATCTTTATTGAAGCCTTTCATTAAACACCCCTTCTTCCGCCACTTTCCCCTTTGGAACCCTGGACTCACAAGAATATGAGGGGCTTTCTCTGCGCTGACCTTGGGCGCCACAACTGAGTTCCTGAATAGAAACTGAAACCACCCAGCTCTGACTTACAAAAGCCAGGGCTGTCTCTTGCCCAGTTTGGCAGGGTTTGAAGTTTGTGATGCCAAACTTTACTGGGATCGCTGAAAATCACATGTCACTCCCACTTTGACCCAAGACAATAAAAACTGTTGGTTGACAAAAAAGCAAATTGAAAGTGCTTATAGGTGCCTGGAGGGAGGCTGGTGGGTTGCATCTGGATTTCCGCTTCTCCATCTGCAGGGCAGTTACTCCTGCCTGCTCTGAGAATGCAGACACCATGGCTGGGGGAAGCCCAGGGTCCAGCATCCACTGGGATTGTGGGTGGGTACAGAAAAGCTTCCTTTATCCCTTCCCCCTGCAGGGGGCAGGGACTCGCCTTTGGGTTCTAAGATCAGAAGCCACTTTCTAGGGCTCAGTTTCCTGCCATGCATGGAATTCCCTCCTCAGGGTGGTACTGATTGAAACCCCCCCAGAGTAAAACAAAGACTAATTCCAAGAAAAATTCTCTCAAAGTTTGGATCCTTCAGTGAGTCTCCTCATTGGGACCCAGAGTGTGATCTTCAGGGAAGACTGAGGTGACTTTCACTGAACCCACCTGGGAACAGCAGGCTCAGACAGCACCTCAGGGCTTACAACAGCCTGGAGAGGAGCCCTGCCTTGTGTTCTCCCCTTACCTTGGCCTGTCCCAGGTGGATGCAGTCCCTAGTGTTGGCTACCAGGCTTCAATAAAGATGAAATGGAAGGGAGAGTGTGGAGAAAAGAGGGCTGTGGAGAGAATGGTTGAAATACTGAAGAAAGAAAAGAGAAAGATATGGGGGGAGGGGATAAGAATTTAAAAAACAAGAATAGCAGAAAGGGGAAAAAGATGTAGAGCTTGGAATGTCTGCAAGTCTGTGGCTCTGCTGTCCACATCACCCCCTTAAGATTCCAGAGCAGGATGAGCCTTAGAGACCCCACAACCTCCACTACAGAAAGAACTACAACCTTCCTCCATTTATCATAGTTAAAACAAAAACCAGCAGGCAGTGATGGCACAAGCCTGTAATACCAGTGATGTGGGAGGCTGAGGCAGGAGGATCACCAAATTCAAGACCAGCCTCAGCAACTTGAGAGGCCTTATGCAACTTAGTGAGACACTTTCTCAAAAACAATAAAAAGGGCTGGGGGGGGGGTGTACTGAGCAATAAAGTGCCTCAGAGTTAATCCCCAGTACCTCCAAAAAATATATACATTGATAGATATAGATACATATTAAGCCAAAAAGAAATGTAAGGAAGGGTAATAGAACTCTGACTATGATCCCAAGAAGTTTTTAAAACATATTTAAAATGTATTTATTTTGGGGCTGAGTCCATAGCTCAATGGTAGATTACCTCCATAGCCTGAACCAGGCCCTGAGTTCAATCAAATACCCACAAATCCAGAAAGGTTGTGTTTCAGGCATGCAGACTTTCCCTACCCTGAAGCTCAAGCATAGAGGGCTGGGAATGTAACCAAGTGTAATGTGTTTGCCTAACATGTATGAGCTCCGCCCTCCCCTGCCCAATCCCCAGCACCACAAAAACAAGTATCTACAAAAGTACTTTCTCTTTTTAAAAAGAAGTTTAAATTCTGATATGAAATAAAAATGAACATCCAGTCTCAATTTAGAATTTGATTGTATCCAAATGTAATAAATACATAAAATACAATAAATGATTGAAAATACTAAAATATCTTTTTAAATAAATTTCTTGACACATTAAATAGCCAGACCTGGAAGCAGGTCTCATAGTACCAATGATATCACAGCAACAAAGAGCATAAAGGATGTGTTGAGCTCCCTTCTACAATGCAATGAGAGATGCAAACATCAGTGAATTTAGTGGTCAAAGTAGGAGATATGGCTCCTCCTATCCTGGAAGAATATGCTGCTTCTCAGAAAGCAAACAAGTATTTTATTATTTCTAGCTTTTATTTTTACCCTTAATCTAAGGACATCTTTTGTGAACATTTTGTCACCATTGTTCTCTTCCCTCCACCCCTAAATAAACATATGGCTTTTCTTAAGATTGCTGTGCTTTTGGACAATAAGGTGAGACACCATAACACACTCTCTCACACTCTCTCTCTCTTGTTGTTGTTATGGAGGATTGAACCCAGATGCTTAAGCACTGAGCCAAATTTCCAGTCCTTTTAAACTTTTTGGGGGGAATGATACCTGGGATTGAACTCAGGGGGCACTAAACCACTAAGCACATCCCCAATCCTATTTTCTATTTTATTTAGAGATAGGGTCTCACTGAGTTGCATAGTGCCTCACTGTTGCTGAGGTTGGCTTTCAACTCATGATCTTCCTGACCCAGTCTCCTGAGCTGCTGCTATTAGAGGTGTGAGCCACCATGCTTCTTTGTTTAATTTTTTTTTTTTTGAGCATGGTCTTACTACATTGCTTAGGGCCTTGC